GCCCGCGCCGAGGCCGCCTGGCGCGACTTCGCCGAGTCCTTCGTGCGCGCCGGCATGGTGCCGCCCGCCGAGGCGGAGCTCGCCGCCGTGGAGGGCGCCGAGGGCTGCGCCGTGCTGCTCCTGGCGCCGCAGCAGGTGAGCGCGGCCGGGCCCGCCGCGCCGCGCCGCCTCGCCGCCGCCTCACGGCCGTGTCCCCTAGGCGCTCACGTTCAGCGGGAAGTGCCGCCTCACGTGCCTGTACGGCGCCGTGCGCGTGCTGGGCTTCGCCGTCGCGCCGCACCAGCCGGGCCAGCAGCTCTTCTCGCCGCTCACGCACTGCGCGCTCGCCCTGGAGGCGCTGCCGGTGCCGCCGCCGCCCGCCGCCGAGCTGCGCCGCCTGCGCTGCGGCCTGCGCGCCGCCATGCGCCTGCGCGGCGTCGCCCGCCGTGAGTGGGGCCGGGGGGCGCCGCCATTTGGCGCCGGGCGCCGCCGCCATTTGCCGCGTGGCGCCCGCTGAGGGCCGCCTTTCCCGGCCCTTGCAGAGGCGCGGCTGAGGGTGATGGCGCGGTTCTCGGCGCGCTGCGCCGTGGTGCTGCTCGAGCACCTGGACACGCCGGCCACGCGCTTCCTGCTGAGCCTGCCGCAGCACCTGCGGCTCTTCGAGGCGCAGGTGAGCCCCGCGGCGCGCCCGGCCGCGCGCCCGCCCCGCGCGCCGCCTCACGCCTCTGCCCGCGCCCAGAGGAGCCAGCAGCCCGGCTGCACGCCCGAGGACGCCGTGCTGGCCGCCGTCGGCATCGTCAAGTGCAGCCCGGAGCGCGGCCTGCTGCTCTCCGAGAGCATGGACCTGGCCCTGGAGGAGCTGGTGCAGGCGTGCACTGGTGAGCGCTCCTGGCGCGGGGCTCGCTCCTGCTGGCAGCCTGGGGAAGGCCCTTGCTGGCCAGAGCTGGGGGCAGTGCCCTGTTGTGGGGGAAAAGCTCCCTTGGGGGGTGTTGGTCAACAGTGCCATTCTGGAGCTCCTGGCCTCGGGCAGGCTCTGCTCACTGTAGAGAGGTCRCTCCGGGCGCTCCCCAGCTTGGCGTCAGAGCTCCCATTCTGCCCTTGATGCAGGGCAGAAAAGCGGGAGAATTGTGGTGGCGTTCTTTAGCCTTTTATGTAAAGTAAAGGCATCTGGGTGGCTTGCGGTGCTCGTCCATTTCAGAGTGTGTTTGTCTTTCCAGTGGAAGATGAAGGTGCCCCCGTGATCATGGTGTGTGGTCCAAAAAACGTCGGGAAGTCAACGTTTAACAGATACCTGATTAACCTGCTACTGAACCAGTGAGTTTGTCTTTTTACTTCCTACTTCTAAGTTTAGGGTAAGGAAAAATGGGGAAAAAAAAAGACTGCCAAGTTAAGGTTAAATATTTAGAAAAGATGTTGGTAGAGTTATTAAAAATAAATAAAGCAATTTGTGAGAGCCTTCCAAATTTCTTGGCACAACAAGGCAGGGAAGCCTGATCACTGCTTGCCTAAGATAAAGCTTTTGCAAATCCAGTAGTCGGTCTTGAAGCCTCCAGTTAGCATGGAGGGGGTCGCTGCTGCCTCTGGTGGCTTTGCTGGCCTGATCGTCCTCTTCCTCCAAGCCAAGGAAGGAGAGAGCCACGTGCTAGTTTGTGTTCTGAGAATGTGACTGTGCTGAGCTCGATCAAAACTTGATTCTGCTTCTGATATTTTGCAAGTTGTTCCCTTTCCCACTTCAGTGGGAGCTAATACACTGGCTTCTCTTTTTGCAGCCTTCCCTGCGTTGAGTATCTGGAATGTGATATAGGTCAAACGGAATTTACACCGCCTGGATGCGTGTCTTTAACGAATGTAACAGAGCCGTTTCTCGGTAAGAATATTGGTGTTTTCTGCTCTTGCCAGAAGCTGGTTTCCTCCTCAGAAGGCGCTTTCTGAGTAGAAACTGTTCTTGGAGAGAACTGTCAGCGTCTGCCRCGGGTGCATGCACAGAGTAAAAGCCAGGCTGTGGAAGCTTTCCATGCAAGTCTTGTTAAGGAACAGAGTTGTTCTCCTAATTTGTTTTTTTTTGTGTGTGTTTTAGAGAGGGGAGAAAATACTTGTTCAGAAGCGAGTGGAGCAGGTTGTGGCAGGAAAAAGCAGGTTGCCAGATTTCAGATTTGTGACGTTTCTTTGAGAACATCTTTCTCGTTGTTTAGTGTCTGTAGCAACAGGTCTAGTTCAAGATGAAGCTAGCTAGAGAAATACGAAGCAGATCAATGCAGGTTGGGGATTTTGCTCAGAGCACAGACGCAGAGAGTTGTGCAGGGAAGAGAGAACTTTTCCCCAGATGCTGGCTGCAGGAGCACAACTTAGCAAATTGCAAGCAAAAGACACATCTGAGCCTRTTTCAGAAGAGATTGCACATACATGCTATAGCGGGGAGGTTTTGCTTTGAATCCCTGCAGCAACCAAAGGTTTCTCTAGCAAAGCATTTGCTTTTTCAGGCCCACCGTTCACTCATCAGCGGCTGCCACATAAGATGGTTTATTACGGGCAGACTAGTTGCGAGCAGGACTCTGAAAGGTACTTTGACGTGGTGAAGTACGTGTTCAGCTCGTACAAGAAGGAAGCGCCTTTGGTCATCAACACCATGGGCTGGGTGAAAGGTAAACAGCATAAACCTCTTAAGAGATGATGCAGAATGACCTTTGTAATCTTTATCACTGCACTTTCTAGATCCGGAACTAGAAACCAGAGCTTGCCCCTTGTGCTGGGAGCTGGTACTACTGTCTTGTAAGCGGTGTTTGGGCTTGTTGAAGCAGAGCAATGCCGTTCCCTCTCCTCCCCAAAGGTGAGGGCTTGCTGCTTCTGACCGACATGATCCGGCTGCTGTCGCCCAGCCACGTTGTTCAGATGGACGTTAGTGACTGGAGAGCCATGGCCCCGCTCACGCCGGAGTCCATCCGTTTTGCCCCTGGCCTGTACACCAAAGGCCAGCAGCAGCCCAAGTGCAAGCAGATGGACGCRAGCGGAGCGGAGGACTGGAAGACCTCGGAAGGGGAGAGAGACGCGGCGGCTCCYGACTATAAGTTGCTGTATATCCACCCGGAATTCCCTCGAGCGGGAGTTGCAGGTGAAGCGTAAGTAGGAAGTCGGTGCTGGGTGGTGCATGAGGAGCTCCACAGAAACCCTCTCAGCCCAGAGCCAGGTGGCGGTCACTGTCTCCTGGTTTCTTTCTGTGTTGATATCCAAAATCTGCTTTTTTCAGGATCATGTCTCTTTCTCACCAGTTTCAGGCGTTTTACTCTGTCTCTTGCAACTGATGAATTGAAAGATGCCTCTGCATCAAGGACCAAGGAGGGAGGTGGCAGCTAATGAGCCATAGAGATTTTTTTTAAAAAACAATTTTGTTTATTAATGCCTTCTGAAAGCTGAAATAATATTCTAGTAAGCCCTAGGTACTTTTAGAGCCGATAAAAATGCAGTTGTAAGTTTTCTTAAGCATGGGAAGAATTACAAATTAAGCTACTACGAAACAGCAGCTGCTATTGTTGTACACGTTGCCTTTTCTTGACGTCTTGTGGTTGTTTTTCCAGGCGGGTACACAGCAGTATCCTACGTGACCTGGCAATACTGGGTTACCTTGGTCAGCTGCAGCCCGCGGGCCTGGGCTCAGTGCTCCCACTGCATAGTCTTGTGCCCTATCAGGTAAAGTCAGGGGGTTTTGGAGGACTTGGAACTGCTGCGGGGAGGCTTCTGGTAATTTGGGGGTCAGCTTGTGCTGTGAGCTACAAGGATACATGCACACACTCTCTTTATATATATTTATCTCTCTCTCTCTATATATAGATATATATCAGTGTCCTTAAAGGAGGTTTTTGCCAGAGTGTCTGTGGTCACAGACATGGGTCGGGAGCGCCTGGSTTTTGTGGTGTTGTCTCTGAAAAATGGACCTACAGCACCGTGGAGCTGATGCTATGTAGGTTTTCTTCTGTAGGTGCCTTTTAACGCTGTTGCCCTCGGGGTTATTCACACTGACGTTGCTCCCACCAACATCATGTATGCCGTGAACGCCAGCTGGGTGGGGCTGTGCAGGATTCCGGACACCGTCCGATCCCAGTCGGATGGGCCCGTCCTGCTGACGCAGACGCCGCTCTGCGACTGCCTTGGCTTTGGTGAGTGAGCGAGCAGCACTGCTGTGTTGTGGAGGGGCTGCACGAGCATAGTTCTGGAAAAACCCTCTATTCAAGGAGCTTCCTCTGTGCACAGCAATTTTACAAGACTGAAGTAAGTCGGGGATCCTTGCGTGTGTTTTTAAGGAATTGTCCGTGGAGTCGACATGGAGAGGAAGCTCTATTATGTTCTGACCCCAGTTGCTCCGGAGAAGCTGAGGCTGGTGAACTGCATGCTGCTTGGAAGCATCGCTGTTCCGAACTGTGTTTTTGTGAGCCAGGTAAGAGCTGCGTGTGTGGGAAGCCTGCCTTTATATGCTGCCTTTGCTTTGGCTCCTGTGTGTGGAGGTTATCCTGGGAATTACCCTTAGTGTGTCTAAAGGAAAAAGAAAAAACACCACCCKGAGGGCAGAATTCTGAGTTTTCTGTTTTCAGTGGGGCTTCTTCAGTGACATCTTAGCTGCTTTTCACCTGAGGGCTTTTTCAGGCTCGTCAGAGGAAAAGAGGGAATATGTTCCAGCTGAAGATGTAACTTCCTCCATTTTTTCCTCTGTTCCTGTTACTTTCCAGCACGGAATTGAGGGAGAGATACCTTATGTCACGTCAGAATATAATTACAGCATCTTGGGATCTGGGAAGCTGAAAAAGAAGCATTTCAAGAGAAGAGAGCACACGTTCCCGTGTGACTTCACCTAGAGACTGTGGGAGGCTGAATTCCAGGATTTATTTTGTATGGAGTCTTGCAGGAGTTGGGTCTCTGCACCTGAGCCCAGATACTGCAGAGCTCTGTGTGACCCTGAGCAGGTGTCCACTATGGACAATACAGCTTGTCCATTTTTATTACTGTTCTTTTATATTTGCAGTACGTGTTCTGCTGTTTTGTAATAAATGCCTATGAAAAATGTTGGTTTGGTGTGAATTTATCTAAGCCTCTATCACTTGACCATAGCTAAGGTAACTTGCAAGGAGCTATTCCAAGGTCCTGCGCTTTAAAGAGCGAGTTAGTAGCACGGAGTGATTCCTTGTGTTTAAATTTTAGCCTTTGATKCTGTCTAAGGTCAGAAACTTGCCCTGGGTGCTGGGATGTGTGTGTGAATCGGCCGCAGCAGCAGCCAAGTCTTGTTACTCAGCCTTGGTTCTTGGTGGCACCGACGGTTCTTTTCCCGGCTCCACAGCTACCGTGCATCTTTCTTGGCTCTCTTGCGCTCGTTGCCCATTTCCAAACCCCTTTTTCCAGGTAAGTGCTCTGCTGCGGCAGAGCCTTCTCCATGGGGCCCTGGGGGCAGCCGGGCTCCTGCCGCAGAAAGAGCCCTCTGCTTTCCCTGCCCTTCCTGCGCTGTGGGCGAGGGAGCGTTGCCTGCCCGGGTGTTCTTGTGCCGGTGCCTTTGGCCTGTCCTTACCAGCTCCACGGGACCCGCCTGCCCCTCAGGGGCCAAATTCTGCACAGGGCTGCGCTTGCCTGGGCAGAGTCGGGGAGCTCTGAGCGGGGCTGCTGCCGCTAAGGAGCTAAAGCCTTGCCCTAATCCAGGCCTAATGCTGCCCATATGGCTGCTCTGCCTAAATCAACAGGGCCGCAGTGCAATGCGGGGCACCCTGGGGCTCCYGGCCGGCCCCGTGCGCTCCGGGGCCCCATGTGTGCTCGGGGCCCTGCCTGCGTTGCCAGGGCCCGGCCGCGGTGCTCGTGGCTCCCCACCTGGCCGGCGCCGCCGGGGCGGAGGCTGGCGTTGGGTTACAGCCTCCGCGGCGCATGGAGGAGGAGGAGGAGGAGGGATGGCCCAGCTGGCGRAGGAGGGAGCCGGGGGCTGGCTGAAGCGCGCGGCTCGCCGGCACGGCCGCCGCTGAAGCGGAGCGGGAACAGGCGCAAGCTGGGGCGGCCCCCGCACGGGGCTGGGCGCAGCCTGCCCCACACGTGGCCACGGGCTCTGCGTGGCGGTGCCGGCCGCCTCGGCCTGCGCCGGGGGACGACGGGCGAGCGAGCGCGTGAGTCTGCGGCACCTGCTCTGCGCCGGCCGGCCAGGGCCACGGGTGGCGGCCGGGAGCGCAGCGCGGGCTCTGGCACCGCGCTTCGGTGCCCCTCGTCCTGCCCGCGTGTCCCCCGAATGGTGGCTCAACCGGGTTAGCCGCACGCGCTGGTGGGAAACACCCAAAAGAAGCACAGCCCCCYGGTGTGCGTGGGGGGCCCTGCGCTACAGCGCTCGCGGCGCACGGTGTGGGTTGCGACCGACGCGGAGCGGGGGACGGGGGCTGCTGTGTGCAGGAGGCGGCGGGGACGAGCCGGGAGCCCGGCGGGGCTCTGCCTGCTCCGTGCGGCGGCAGCCTGCGCCCTTGGCCGGGACCCGCCGCCCTGCGCAC